AACTATAGGCCAATCTCACTAATGAACATAGATGCAAAAATCCTTAATAAGATACTGGCAAATAGAATGCAGAAGATCATCAAGAAGATCATAAACCCTGACCAAGTAGGATTCATCCCAAGGATACAGGGATGGTTTAACCTATGCAAATCAATGTAAAACACTATATCAATAGAGCCAAGGACAAATCCATAAGATCATCTCAATAGATGCAGAAAAAGCATTTCACAAAATCCAGCACCCATTCATGATAAAAACCCTACAGAAAATTGGAATAGACAGTCTCTACCTCAACCTGTTAAGGCTGTCTAAGAAAAACCAACAACCAGTATTATACTAAATGGTCAAAACTGAAATCCTTCACACTAAAATCAGGAAGAAGACAAGGATGTCCACTATCACCCCTTCTGTTCAATATAGTTTTGGAAGCATTAGCCACAGCAATTAGACAAGAGAAAGAAATAAAAGGAATAAAGATAGGAAATGAAGAATTCAAATTGTCATTATTTTCAGATGACACGATACTCTATACAGAAGACCCCAAGAATGCAACCAAAAGTCTTCTAGACTTAATAACCAAATCCAGTAGAGTAGCTGGTTACAAGGCCAACACACAAAAATCAATAACTTTCCTGTACATAAACAACAGAGTCACTGAGAAAGGTACTGGAGAAACTACTCCTTTCATAATAGCATCCAAAAAAATGAAATACCTAGGAAACAACCCAATGATTGAAATCAAAGACTTCTACTCTGAAAACTTTAGCATGCTGGAAAAAGAGATCAAAAAGGATATCAAAAAATGGAAAGACATCCCTTGATCCTGGGTAGGAAGACCCAATATAGTGAAAATGGCCATACTTGCAAAACTGCTATATAGATTCAATGCAATTACAATTGAAATTCCAGCAGGATACTTCACAGACCCTGAAAAAACAATCCAAAAATTCATTAGGAACAAGAAGAGACCTAGAATAACAAAAGCATTTCTAGGCAACAAAGACAAGGTAGGGGGTATCACAATATCCAACTTGAAAGTATACTACAAAGCTACTGTGATAAAAACAGCATGGTACTGGCAAAGAAACAGACCTGAAGATCAGTGGAATAGATTAGA